ATCAATATTATGCAAAAGACTGGTAAGAGTAATATGACGGGAGGATACATATTGTTGGAGTATTGTCAATGATTGCTGATATAATTGTAAAGCAGCATCATAGTTTTCTTATTCATAATTAATATTACCGATAGTACAAAGATTATAAGAGGTCATAATGTAATCAACTGGATAACGTGTCTTTTCCCATTTCCAGTACTCGGCGATGGATATTAATGCCTTCATGATATTTATCTTGTCGATATAGAATGTCTGCGATACCATTGAGTGTCAATAAAATGTGTACATGCTCAAAAGGATAGTATTTTTCGTAGATTGCTATCGATTACCAATTATAGTCGATAGCTTTACCGTACTTGTTTTGTTCACGAAAATACAGACCAAACACTCAGTAATATCACTATGGGTACCGTGATAATATTTCTTCAGTATTGCAAAGTTTTTCTCAAAAATATACAAATGTTTCATCATAATTACCTTTTCTATGAAAAATCTCGCCAATATTACGCAGACTGGTAGCGATAAACACATGATCAGGAGAATAGTATTACTTTCGTATTGTAAATGCTCGTTGATGAAAATCCATGGCTTCCTCGAACTTGATTTCTGCAAAGAGAATCTTTCCTACGTCGGAAAGTATCTGAGCTGAGTCTTTGATACACAGTTGTTTCGGATTCATCATGCGATTGTAAGTTCGATCATAATATTTACGCGTCACAATCCATTCTCCTTTCAAACGATGAACTTCACCAAGACTATGTCCTGTCCATGTTTGATCTATATCATTCGAATCGATTGACAAACGTTCAAAATATTTCTGTGATTGATCCCATTGATCCATATCCAACTTGAGACGTCTGAATATAATTGCAATAATTAGATTTTCGGTTTGATGAAGTGTATTTACAATATATTTTTCTACAATATTTTTTCCTTCAGTGGAAGTTCTCATTTTAATAATCTAGAAGTTTTCATGAAATTCAAATAAATATAATACTTAGAAAAGTTCATTATATTTATCCGTGTCAGTAGAGATAACATATTTGTCAAAATCTTGTGGATTGTGCTCGGTTTCTAAAACAGCAGCGATGAGAGCCGTTAATTTTATTGATTTTCGAGCAAAATGCAATGCATTTGAACGAAATCGAGTAGTCGTAAAGAATCCATTGTCTAAAAGAAGTATTCCTACATTTGTTTTGCATTCATCTAGCTATTCTTTCGATAATTTGATATCTCGATAAACAGTAAGATTTTCTTTTTCATATTGAATCCTAGTTTGATCTCGAGGTATCAAACTTCGTATAAGATCAACCATGAAATATCTTAATGCATTCAATTGATCCACAACTTTTATCTTCAATGCTTCTTTAATCATTTTATACGAAAATGATTTTGTTGGATAGCATTGAATAACTTTGTCTGAACGATATTCATATTTGAATACATCAATTAATTTCAAGTTATTTAAATTATCTTGATAATATGGACGACATAAATCGATCATTGCATTTTTCGCAAGTTGACCATGTGTTGAACATTCCGATGGATAAAAAAAACTGAATATTTGAAATAATTTATTGTCTCATTCAATTTGTTCTTGAAATGATTAATACAAATTTTCTAGTTTCGTATAGATATACCAATAAATTTCAAATGTTTAAAGACAAACTTGTTGCTTTGGTTATTATCGAAATCAAATATAAAGATCGAATCGATTTGTGGAAGTGTATTGATTTAAGAGAATACTTGTGAGGCATTTCTACTTGACGTAATCAAGAAGATTTTGTCTTTATCAATTGATTGTATATGAATTATACAAGGTTCTATTCTATTGTAATATCCGATATAATCATTTATTTGACAAAATCGTCCATGAATGTTTTCTGTTTGATTGATGTTGTAATGATAAACTGAATAATGACTCTGACAACTAAATTGTTCAATCTAAATACGGTATAATGATTTCTAAACGAACAATAATGACAAAAACTATTTATCTTGGGCAAAAATATAGTAGTATTAACGAAACTGAAGTAGATCGATTGATTGACCTTTGATTATTAATACTATTACAATGATAATCAGACGATTCATGTTTTTTTAATGTGAGTAACATTTCTCATTTGTGCTTTTTATCAATCGTATCGATTTTGCGATGGTCCTCGGAAAGTTTGAGAAAAAAATATTATTAAATGATAATGACCAATGGATTCAATTTTATCCTCTATTTTCTGTATCTTGAGCCGTCGGTTCATGTATTATCCCTCAAATTCTATTAGTGTCTAATTAGTATCTAGTTATCCGAAATAGCTATTGCATCACTTTATGTAGAACTAGCGGAGGTACCCGATGGTAGTCATGATAATTTTATAATATATACTTGACATATTAGAAAAAGACGTCACTATGATCTCCTATCAATTATTGGAA